CACCAAGTCAAGGGTTAAGATCCCCTTACTGGTCATCTTTAAAAAAAAAAAAAAAGTGGTAAAACACACATAATATAAATTTTAGCATTTTAACCTTTTCTAAGTGTACAGTTCAGTAGTATTAAGTACGTTCACATTGTTGTGCCCTCTGTGTCTTTTAACATCTCACATTTTTCATCTCTTGATCTCTCTGGCTGTATTCTAGGTGATTTCTTCACATGTGTCTTCTAGTTCACAAATTCACCCTTCAGCTATGTTTACCTGTTCTTTAGCCTTTTCATTGAATTTGTAATTTTAGTTACTTTTTTAAATGGAAGTTCTTTTTGTTTTTTATTCAGATTTGCTGGGTCATTTTAATAGTCTCTCATTCCTTGTTCTTCTATTTCTTTAACATATTACACTTTTATTTCACATTCTCTGTTAATTTCTGTGTTAGAAGTCTTTGTGAATTTGATCCGGCTGTGTTTTGTTTCTGCTGGCTCTCATAGTGCCTTATTTCCTTATTTTATTTAAGGTTTTTAAGTTTTGATAATGAGTTTATTTTACTTGGGACTTGAGGAAATTTTTTTGAGGCCTTGGTGCAATTTGATTCTTCCACAGAAGATTTGTTTTTGCTTCTCCCAGTTACCTAGGGCATTACCAGCCCGGGACTATTTTAAATTAAATTATTTGCTGGAAGTTTTGGGAACCACACAGGTAGTGTCAATTTTGACTGCAATCATATGGGACTAAGTATGGTTATGAAATCTTAAATGAATTTTTTCCCTCCTTCTACCTAATGTCAAGGTCAAGACAGGTATACTTCCTTTATTTATCCTTAACCTTTAATTGATAGTGAAGCCCTTTGGACTCCCAGTTTTATACTGGGTCTCCTATTAGATTCCCTACTGTGGACAGATCCTATTGCTCTTTTAGTTGTTTTCATTGCTTTTTCAGATGATCTCTTCTGCAGTGTTGACAGAAGAGGAAATTCTTTTGTAGAGACTGTAATGAGCTCTTTTCCTCAAACTCAGTTTGTCAGTGAGCATTCCCTTGCAGAAATATTTAGCTATTTCTATAACTGATTATTTCAGGAAAAATATCTGAGCATCTATTATGTACCAAGGAACAACTTAAGCTTAAATAGTAAAGATTTAAAGAATGGAAGAGACCCTTGGCAGGCTGTGCAAGGGAGAGGAGGAGGGATCAGGTAAACCAAGGGAGCTGAGTCTGGGCCCTGCCCCCACTGCACAAGAACAATCCTGCTTTGATTCATTTCATGTTTTAGGGTTCTGAATAAGACTTTGAGTGATCAAAAAGGTTCTGCTGTTGGGGAAAAAAAAAGGTCAGACAATCACTAATCTACTATAAAGTCTATGTTCTGCAAGGGAAGAAACTATGATATGAAGAGGGTGAGTGGCTTTTCCCAGGCAATTCAGCAGAACTGGCCCAGTGCTTCTCCTGGCTGTTTACAATTGTTTTTGGAAGCTTGGAGGTCAGGTACCAATCAGACTTGGGAAATGTTCTTATCTTGAAGCTGAAAGCACAGAAAAAATAAGAACAGTGAAGAAAAAAATAGGGGATCCATGCCCAGCGAGGTTTTATTTCAGTCATTAGCAGAGCATCGTAAGGTAAGTAATTAAGTTGAAAATGCATATTTGTTGGTTATAGAAAATGATAATCAACAACGGAGCAATCGAACTGAAAGTCTAGATTTCCCAAATATTTTGTGCTTTTTGTTTGCTTGTTTTTTAAAATGTCTTGATTTATGTTGGCCAACATAGCAGTCCTTTCCTGAGATTCTTTTCTGTATTGTCGAGCACCAAGCGCCTTGAGCTGTAGCGCGCTGTTAGTTTCCTAAGGCTTCCCTAACAAACTACCGCAGACTGGGTGGCTTAAAACAACATAAACTCCTTACAGTTCAGGAGGCTCTTAGAAGTCTGAAATCATGGTGTTGGCAGGGCTGTGCTTCCCCTGAAGGCTCTGGGGTGGATCCTTCCTTTCCTCTTGCAGCACCTGCAGCTCCAAGTGTTCCTTGGCCTGTGGCAGCATCACTCCAGTCTCTGCCTCTGTCTTCACATGGCCCTCTTCTCCCTGTGTCTGTGTCTGGGTCTAAATCTCCTTCTTTTTGTAAGGACACCAGTCATATTGGATTAAGGGCATACCCTACTCCATTATGACCTCATCTCAACTTTAATTACTTCTGCAATGACCCTATCCCCAATGATCTCATGTTCTGAGTTACTGGGACTTAAGACATCAACATATCTTTTGGGGGGACACGATTCTGCCCATAACAACACATACGTTATAAACAAAGTTATTATGCAGTCAGGGAATTACAAAATCTTTTTAAAATACAAGAACTTTCTGCTCATCTGGCAGAATTTTGTACAAAAGTCAGCTGACATACTGGATAGAATGAGTGGGTGGGGTGGGGTTATAAACAAAGTTATTATGCAGTCAGGGAATTACAAAATCTTTTTAAAATACAAGAACTTTCTGCTCGTCTGGCAGAATTTTGTACAAAAGTCAGCTGACATACTGGATAGAATGAGTGGGTGGGGTGGGAGGTGTGGAGGAGATTACAGAGCTGGAGAGGAGGAGAAAGTGGGGCAGGGTGGGAAGGTCTGAGGGCAATGGGTCAGGGTCCAGGAGGTGAGTGGATATGAATTTTTCTTTGGTTGGTTGTTTTGGTTTTTTGGTGACTGACCGTATGGGGATCTGAACCCCTTGACCTTGGTGCTACAAAGCTGCACTCTAACCAGCTGAGCTAACTGGCCAGCCAGATATGAATTTTTAGTGGTATAGCTGGG